AGAAGACAGAACTACTCAACTCCTACTTGGCTTCTTTCTTGTTATTGTTATTTTTCTACAGAGGAGAATGGTCTTCAGACTGAAATGAAGTGAAGAAACATGATCAACAGGAATTAAAATGTTTTGATCAGTTAAGTTCAACTGATCTGGTCTAGGTAAACCATTTCCCAGGATCTTAAAGGAACTAGGCAATATGGTTCATGGAAAACTCTTAGTGAGCCCTGAATATATGTAGAAAACAATGAACATGCTGGATACAAGCTGAAAATGAAGACTTACAGAGTATATAACTTATCTTCAGATACTTTTTAAACTGTAGATTTGACTTGAAATTAGCCTACACTGCAGGAACCGTATTAAGATACATTAACACCCATTAACACTTTAAAAATAATCTCCAACAGAGAGCTAGCTAGCTGTAATTTATCAGTCACTCCTCCTTTCCCTCCTTTTTTTGTCTGTGTCCCTCTGTGTGTATACTTTTTTCCTTTTATATAATCAATGTGTATACTGAACTCACCCTGCTTTCTGTACTTGGCATTATTTCATGTAAATATTTCTTGCATTTGTCATCCTTAATTACATCTAGCATTCCGTTTAATTGATATACCAGTCTGTCACAGTCAGAGGGCCCCAAATGTTGGGTTTTTAGGTTGTTTCCAGTTTTTAGAAGCATGAATAAATAAGAGAAGGCAATGGGGTATAGTAGAAGGAATTCTGGATAGGAGTCAGAAGACCTGGATTGGAATCTTGACGCTGACTACCTACCTCTATGACCTTGGGCAACTTGAGCTCTTTGAGACTCAGTTTCCTCATCTGTAAAACACTGAACTACGTGGCTCCTAAGGGTTCTTTCCGCTCTAGCTCTATGATCTCTGAATGAAGAGTTTTTCTTTGGCTAACACTCAAACTTATATTCCTTCTAATCAGATCAATGGGTCAATGTTGGTGAGTTGTTTCAGTCATGTCCAACTCTCCATCACCCCATTAGGTTTTTGTTTGTTTGTTTGTTTTGCAAAAATACTGACGTTATTTGCCATTTCCTTCTCCGGGTCATTTTACAGATGAGAAACTGAGGCAGACAAGGTTAAGTGAGTTGCCCAGGGTCACACAGCTAGTAAGTGTCTGAAGTCATTTGAACTCAGGTCCTCCTAACTCCAGGGCTGGTGCTCCATCTACTATGCCACCTAGCTGCATCAATGGAATGCTTATTATTATAATCATTATAGTATACTGTCAGATTGTTTTATCTTCAAATACTTCAAGAACTTGGAAGAAGGGTTAGACTTAGTCTCTGAGGGCAGAATTGGAGCGATGAGGTGTAAGTTGTAGGTAGGCTAGGGGAAACCTTTACCTAAGGAAAGACTTTTGATCAATTCAAGCTGTCTACAAATAGAATTGGTTGTTTCAGGAGGTAGTGAGTTTCCCATCTTTGAAATTTTTCAAGAGGAGTTTGGATGACCACTTGTCAAGGATGCTGCTTCAGATGGGGTATTGAGATCACCTCTAAAGCCCCTCTCAATATTATGATTCTGGAATTCTAATTTTTCAGATGAGAAAAGTATCTACATGAAGTTATCAATTCTCAATTTTTCTAGACCCATGCTGTCCTTTATGGGTTGGTTTCTTATCTTGGTGGCCTATTTTCTAGCCATGGGGTCTCAACTCAGTTGGTAGGCAGCACTTCAGCAAAGATAGTCATCATGGGGCAACCAAATGGGGAAGGTAAGTGGTAGGTAAACATACTTGGAGGTAGGACAGGATGAGGTGGGAGAGAACAAGAGACAATCCATGACATTTGCTTGACATCTGATCTGGAATATGTACAGTTGACCTTTGCATCATTTCACTTCTTAATAGCATGCCAACTGGAACTGGGATGGGATAAAAGAGAAATCACAGGAGAATTCATTTGTCTACCCTGTTACGTGATTGGGTAAAGATGAAGGACAAAAAGTAAGACTAATGTGCTTTTTAAAAAAAAATTTAATTATCCCTGTTCTCTAAATTCTTTTAGGTTACAAATAACCAAGAATTGCATGTGATAACCTCCCGTTACCATGAAATCTTGGGAACTGAAGGGTTTTAAAGAGGTCAGCTAGTCCATCTTCCTGCCTTAAGCAATACAAATAAGATCAAAATCTAGCCTCCTTTTTAACAGCTTCTCAGAAAGGAGTCCTCAGCAAGCTATACCATTTTTGTCAGCCATATAAGGAAATTCTTCCTCATATCTGACCTAAATCTCCCATGTTGCAACTTTAACTCATCTCCTCTTGGGGCATCCTTGGTATAACTGGAAAAAAGCAAATCCTTCACATATATGAAGAATTAAACCGCTCCTGCTAATGATGTCCTGAGATCTAAGAGGGCAGGTAATATACATACCATGAAGTAGGCAGGCAATATAAGTACTATATTAACTAGTATCCCCATTTAATAGTTGATAGAACTGAAACTTAGAAAGGTCAAGTGACATGTCTAGATTCACACAGCCAGTCAGTATCAGAACCAAAACTCCAACCATGCTGTTCCAGTTCCAAGCTTAGTATTTTCACCACTGTACCATGTTGTTTCCATAACCACTGACTTTTAGAGCATTCCGGGTTTTTAAAGCAATTTATAGGAAGCTAATTCATTTGACCCTCCCAATACCCCTAGGGGTTGTACAAATGCTATTATCTGCATTTTGTAAATGGGGAAACTGAGGCTCAGAGAGACAATGGCTTTCCCAAGGTCACTGAGCTTGTAAGAGACAATTTCAGATTTTAAACTTAGTTCCTCCCTCTCAAAGTAGTGCCTAACAGTAACCAGTAAGGAGAAAGTCTGGTGGGAGTAGATAGTACCAGAGCGATGAAGGCAACTCTGACAGCTGTGGAGGTGTGAATGCTTCTCCACACATGAGTGTGTCTTGGCTATGTGAGTTCTCTATGAAAGTGCCTCTCCATAAATGATAACATGTTTCTGAAGCACTTCAAAGTTTTTTTTAACACATAATTTATAATGTATTACAATAAACACATTATTATTATCTCATTTGACCCTCACAACAACCTTGGGAGGTAGGTGCTAATATTATCCCCATTTTGCAGATGAGGAAACTAAGATTAAATAATTTACCCAAGGTCACACAGCTAGTTAGTGTCTGAGGCCAGATTTGAACTCAGATCTTCCTGACTCCATGCCCAGCATCCTATCTACTGCACCACAGATAAGGAAACTCAGGCTCAGAGAGGCATATAGGTACAGAGCAATTAAGTATCTGAGGCAGGATTTGAAACTGAGTCTCCTGATTCCAGTTTCAATACCGACTATCTATTTCATCCACTAGCTTTGTAAATCTTACATTATGGAGACAGATTGGTCTATGAGGACCAGTCCTTCAATCATACACAAATATTTCCTCCCTGATTTCAGTCCAAGTGACCATGAGGAAATTTAGGAGAAGCTTGTTTCTGGCTATTCACAAGTGAGGGGCTGGTGCAGAAGTCTAAATAGGCTATAGTAGTGTTACTATAGGCTCTGGAACTGGAAAAACTGACAACTTGGGGTGCTGAGGTGGAATGGAGGGCATATACAAAAAGGAGGTCCCCTCTTCTCTTTTTCCTCTGCAGCTGTGAGGAGGCAAAGCTACTTAGCTGGTTCCAAGAACCAGGTAGGAGAAAGATAGCAGCCATCTATCCCACTGGGCTTTGGTTGTTGTGAACACATGGCTACCTAGATCTCCTTGTATTTATCCTTTTCTGTTCTTGGGCAAATGAGTATTCCAAGCTGGAAGTGTCCAGCTTGTGAGTTCAGGAGATCCAAAAGTCTGAGCAGAGGCAGCCACTGCAGCAATAGTGGTTGACAATGGCAGAAGTGGCTGAAGATGAATGGCAAAGACATTTGTCCAAAGACGATGGCTGTTTCAGGAAATACACCCCCTTGTGGTAGAAAGAAGTGCTGGCTGTCAATTCCACAGATCCCGGCTGGGCTTAAAGTCTGGTATAGAGTTACCCCTAAGGGAACTTCATAAGTGCCTCACAAAGGGAGAAAAAGACCTCAAGAGCCAAGTGTTGGGAAGTACCCTTTGGCCACATCTTTTCTCTACCTTTATACTCTCAATTTAAGCTTACTCTCCCCAACCACATTCTATGGGCAAAGAGAGAGTGCCCAGTTTGGGGGGAAGTGCTTTGTATCAACTGTTACTCTTCCTTATCAGTAAATGCCTTTTCTAAAAACTAATGAAGTCATTGTTGAGTATTGATTATTAATAGGGAGCACACCAGTGGGGGCTTAGGAGTTAAAGCACTAGAGACTACAGTCCCTCAGGCTTACCTCAAGAAGCCAGAGGGAAGAAACAGCAATCTGCTAATAGGAGGGTTAGGTGGGAAAGTAGTCTTAGATGATCACTCACATTTATATAACACTTTAAGGTTTACTAAGCACTTTCCTCACAACTACTCCATGTTATTTCTTGCATCTCATGGATGTGGAAACTGAGGCTCAGCGACACAAATTGATGCAACTTAAATTAATTAAATTAGTTAACTTAATTAAATTAAATTAGTTAACTTAAATCTGAGCCAAGGTTCAAACCCAGGTCTTTTGAGTCCAAATCTAGCACTTTTTCTGTTATGCACTGTACACTGTTGTTTGATCTTTCAATCATGTCTGACCTGACCTCATTTGGGATTTTCCTGGCAAAGATACTGGAGTGGTTTGCCATTTCCTTCTCCAGATCATTTTATAGATGAAGAAACTGAGGCAAATAGGGTTAAGTGACTTGTCCAGGATCACACAGATAGTAAGTATCTGAGGCCAGATTTGAACTCAAGATGAGTCTTCCAGACTCCAGGCTCTGTGCACTATGGTGCCACCTAGCTGCCATTATGTACTGTATAGATGTGAGCAAATGGTGGTGGTGGTGGTAGTGGTGGTGGTGGCAGTAATTATATTACATAATGTAAAACTCTTTAAAATAAAAAAAATGGAGGCAGTATGGTACAATGAAGAGAGCTGACCTTGGGATCAGGAAGGTCTGGGTTCAAGTTCTGTCTCTGACGCATGCTGGCTATATGGCCTTCTCAGTGCCCCAAATGACTCTCCAAGACTATGTTACAGTTGAATTGTCATTCTAAATTGGTGGAAGGAGCTTTCACACTGGCAGTTTCTCCACCTTGATGAAATCATAGCTACAGACCAAATAAATAAAAATAACATAAAGGTTAATTAATCTATTAGCAATGATATTTGGAGCCTTTGTGCTAAGTCCAGTTGATACCAACTTGGAATCTGGGGAAACACCATGTTGATTCAGCCGTGAATTGCTATGGACCCTGAAGGCTTGGTGTCTTCTTGCTCCTCTTTTTCTGCTAATGCTTCATCACCCAGCCTGAAGGATGCTAGAAGGCCCAATAATTCCCGACAGAACAGGTGGCCTGTGTAAATTGCGGAGCCCTGGCTCATGGCCCATTTGGAGGCTGGGCCGGTCAGGTTAGCACTGGTGGACAATAGGCCCTCACAGCACTGAACCTCGGCATATGGCAGGGGAAGGCAAGAGCTTCTTGTTCAATTCTCCCACTGCCCACCTAGACCATTGTTCCACCCTCCACACTGAGACTTACTGCAAGGGGCTCAGACACCTCACTAGCTATGTGACTCTCAGCAAGTCACTTTAAACTCTGCCTGCCTCAGTCTCCTCATTTGTAAAATGAGGATAAAAATAGTATCTATCTCCCAGGGTTGCTACGAGGATAATGAGATAGGGTGTGCAAAGTGCTTTGTCAACCTTAATGTGCTACATTAGTGTGAGCTATTATTATTATTGAATGCATCAATTTGTAACTTTGGGACTGGTAGCTTTTGAGCCCTTCCCCTATGACCACATGCCAATTAGAACTACACCATTATTAAAGTGATACTTTGCTTTCCATATTAGACACAGTTCTCCAATACCAAGTCAAAATTAATTTAATTAATAAAGTACTATTAATTGATATAATGAATGTGGAATTAATTGCTTTTCACACATTAAAAACTCAATTAAAATTTTTTAATTAAGCTTTTAAATTGAAAACTAATTCAATTGGTGAAATCCCCCTTGCTTAAAAGTCCAGGTGTTATTCATGTTTTATAATTATGTGATGCCAGGTTGAAAACATCAAAACAAACTGAATTACCCCTTGGGGAAAAAAAGGTCCAAGACCAAATTTATATAGTAATTTTATGCTGTTTAGGGCCAGATTGTTTTCCATAACTTCATGATGCCTGCTGAGCTCCAGCTGACTTCAGGTTAAGCAAGAAAAAGAAGGGAAATTCAGTCCCTAATTAATCCATATTTGTTTAATCCCTGCAGTGTAAAGACATGGTTGGGGAATCTTCACCCCACCTCCACCCCCAATTTCCCTTCTTTCCAACATGGCATTGGATTTCAGAAAGAAATACCCAAACTTCATATGCTTTCCAGCTTCACAGTTACTCCTCATTCATGTATTTGATTACTTTCCAACGGGGGTGCTAAGAATCCTGTGGGTGAATGCCCTTTCCACTTCCTATAGGCCAGTCATTGTTCTAGTCATGTTCACTTTGAGAGGGGCAGCCTGAGGACCTTAAGGCTAGTGATGACGGTCTGTGTCTTTCGTCAGGGTTCAACTGCAAAAAGACCCACATGTTTGCCCATGAAGGGATGATTCTCAGTAGGCCTCAAAGCAGAGATCACTGAAGACATGCGCAACATGCTTATCCTCAAGGCACCTGGGCATCTATTAGAATAAAAGTTAGTCCTAGCTGGACCATTGTGACCAACCAAGGTCAGACCCCGGAGGGAAATAAAAACTCAGCCCCAAGATCAGATTTAGGCACTAAACTGGCATTTTTTGAAAGCAGAAAATGATCAGTGATCCTTATTACCTCCTTACCCCCTTGTCTAGGGGTAATAGAAAGAAGTCTCCAAGAGGCAAATTGAGGCTTGGTATAATGGGTTGGATAAGTAGATAGAAGGAATGGACCTGTGGTTTAATTAATACAGGTAATTTCCAGATGAGGAAACCCCCTCCAGCTGTGAAAATCAGCAACCTCTAGTCTTGGAGAATTGAGTGGTTAAATGACTTGCCAGGATATGTCAGACACAGGACTTAGCCCCAGTTCTTCCCAGTTCCAAAGCCAGCCAAATATCTACCATTCCACACTGCCTATCAGATCGAATCATCTATTGGGTAATTTTTAAAAATATAACTTTATTCACTTAATTAAGCAGTAACTATGTAAAAACTATTAAACTCATTCACCAAATCAATTATAATCAATTGAATTAATTTTGAGATAATCCTGAAGGACTGTGTCTAATATGTAGCGTTAAGGCTTGGGACCAGAGAAGATGGGATATTAACCTACCAAAATCTATTTTAATGGTTGTGCTTTCCAAGAGAGAATTGCTCCCTCTCACACCTAGACACTTAGACACAAGGTAGAGGTTAGAAATAGCCCGCGGGTACCATAACCAAGAGGGAATCTGCTGCCTCCAATATAGAGTAATTAACAGGCTATGATCAGTGCGCTCTGAAGATGCAGTCTATTTTAGGAATGGGTTGGGAACAATAGCAAGGGAAGCATCAGGGTCTAGTATCCAGAAAATTCTTCAAAGCATTAGATGCTGAATGAATTCTTATTCAATTAAGGCTCCCAACCTTGAAGTCATTCTGGACTCCTCACTCTCTCTCAACCTCCATATCTAATCAATTACCAAAACCTGTCAATTTCACCTTTGGAGCATCTCTCCAATAGGCCCCCTTCTCTCCTTTGACACTGCCCATTTACCCTGGTGTAGCCCCTCATCACTTCACACCTGGAGCTTTCCAGTGGCTCTGCATTCCTCAAGTCTCTCCCTACTCTAAGCCATGTTCCATTTAGCCATTAAAGTGATTTCCTAAAATGCAAGTCCAATCATTCCACCTAACCCTCCAACTGCTCCCCCCACCCCCCAGTAAACTCCAGTGGTTCCCCATTGCCTCAAGGATATACCAAATGCTCAGTTTGACATTTAAAGCCCTTTATTACTTGGCCCCCTTCCACGTTTCCAGTCTTCTTACCCCTTACTTCCCAACACATACTCTTCGACCCAATGACACTGGCTATTCTACAAACAAAACACTATCTCTTGGCTCTGGGCGTTTTCTCAGGTTGTCCACCATGTTCTCCTTCCTCATCTCCACCTCTTAGCTTCCCTGACTTCCTTTAAGTCCCAGTTAAAATCCCAGCTTCTACAGGAATCCTTCCCTACCCTCTTGTAACTCTAGTGCCTTTCCTCTGTTAATCATCTCCTATTTATTCTATATATAGCTTGCTTTGTATCTATTTGTTTTCATGTTGTGTCTCCCATTAGATTGTAAGCTCCTTGGGGACAGGGACTGTTTTTTGCCCTGTCAAACCACAGCACTCATAAGTTCTCAACAACTAAAATTACACCTGCATTACAGATACAAATACCTTATTCTTAAAACTGAAAAGGATTCATACCTGAAAAGGACTTTAGAGATGATTTCCTCTAAACACCTCACTTTATAAACGGAGGATAGTTTCACAGGTAATAATAATTGTTAGCATTTATTTGGAGCTTTAAGGTTTGCAAAGTACTTTACAAGTATCATCTTGTCTGATCCAACAACATTGGAAGGTAGGTCCTATTTTTATCCAAATGAAGAAACTAAGGCAAATAGAGAGTAAATGACTTGCCCTAAGTCACACAGCTAATAACGGTCTGAGGCCAGATTTGAACTCAGGTCTTTCTGATTCTAGGTCCAGAGCTCAATCCACTGTGCTAGATGAAGGACCCATAGTTGAGCCTGTATCCTTTGACTCAATTCAACTCAGCATTTACTAAGTGCCTACACACAAGGTGTATCCAAATCCAGGATTCTTTCCATTGTCCCCCATCTTTGTGGACCAGGCTGATTCTCCCCCACACTTTTTGGTGTGAACTTACTCAAGTGAAAGGAAAGCCCATCCTTTACTGTACTGGTTATTTGTTTTTAAAGAAACTTTAAGACTGCTTCTAGCCACTTGAATCCTGACCCTGTTTCTTTATCGACAGAAACTTGTGCCCATCACATTTCACACACTTGCTTTTCTGGTCTATAGTTCCTCAGTGTATAAATACTGATCTGCTTCTTTCTTCACCCTCTCCTACCCTACCCAGACCTTCAAGTGAGTGGCTTTCAGTTTGTATTTTTCATTTTATTGGTTATGAGTCTTTGGAAAAAAGAATAATCTTAAACTTCGGAGCCAAAACTTTGTTCTTTATGGACTAGCCTTGCAGAGACTCCACCAGAAGAAAGAAACACACAATAATTCTTTGTGGTCTTCAAGGTTTACTTAGTCCCCATCCATATTTCAAATTAATTTTGTTTTCTTAATGAACAGAAATCTATTTTCTTCCCTTCCCATTCACTACCCTATTAGGGAATAAAAAGCAAAACAAATTCCTTGTAACAAATACACATGGTCAGGCAAAACAAATTTCCTTATTCATCATGTTCAAAAAAATATACCTTTTGATCTGTACATTGAGTACATCACTTCTCTGTCAGGAAGTTAGGTGTTCTGGAATCATGAATGGTCATTGTGTTCATCAGAGTTCTTACAGCTTTCAAAGCTATTTATCTTTCCAATGCTGTTATTATAAATTGATCAATGCTGCCTCTTCAGCTTCACAATCATTATTATAGCTTTGTAATGCTCTCCATTCCAGTGAGATCTGGGGATAGAAGGAAATACACTCAGAGACCCTCCAAGCCACGGAGAGAGTCCTGAGAAAATCAAATACAACATGATTTTATTTTTCATGATACTTCCCATCCCAATTCCTTTTTGTGGTTGCGCTGAATGCACTCTTATTGTTACCACTGAAATTTTTGTGTGTACATACATCTACATAAGAAACAGGGTGGAATATTGTTAGCAAGCCAGCCTTGGAGCCAAGAAGACCTAGATACAAGTCCTGCCTTTGACATATACTGGCTGGGTGACTATGGGCAGGTCATATAACTTTGCAGTGGTCAAGATACTTCTCTTAGCCTCTAAGCTGCAGAGCAGAGACTTTTCTCAAATATAATTGAATGAAACCAGTGGTCTAGTCCAAACCACATTTCCTGCAATGCAATGTAAATAAACCATATAGAAGACTAAATAGGGACTGGACCTGTATAATAAAGTATGTGTGTATATATGTATATACATATATGTATGTATGTATCTATCTATATCTGTCTACTTGTTTATCTATATGTCCATCTATCCAACTACCCACCCACCTGTCTGTTGTTCTGTCTGTCCATCCATCCATCCATCCATCCATCCATCCATCCATCCATCCATCTATCTGTCTATCTATCTAACCACCTCTCTATCTATCTGTAACTTTCAGGTGAGGAAATTCCCTCTACCACTGTATGCAGGCATTTTCCTTGCAACTAGTCTAACAAAGTTGCCCAGAGCACCTGGTCACTTGGCCTAGCTAGTATGTATAAGAAGAAGCATTTGAACCCAAGCAGCCCTCACTTCAAGGCTGATTCTTAGCCAGTACACTGAGCTACCTCTCATAGCTATGTGCACACCTATATATGAAGGCACAGTCTACAAACAGATCAAATACCAATACCTACATAAACACTTCGTAACTGCTACCCAGAATGTGAATTCAGATCGAAACTATTATTTTGGTGTTTCAAGCCTCCCACCAATAGATACCTAATGACCAATTACTTTCTTAATTTTCTCATCAGCTTTTCACTTAAAAGAAGGTTATATTAGGCCTTAGTGTTATTTGCTAATAAGCGGAGATGACAGTTAAAACACCCTGAGAAACATTTTTGTCAAACTCCAGTCAGCTAAAGAGGCCTAGAATTAAGTGACGCCCTTCCAAGATGATGACTGGGTCTCACTTGAAGTGTCTGAAAGCCACTGAAAAGTGAAAGATTGAGTTAATCCACCAGCTGTTTTGTCTGGTTTCATTCTAGTTTCAAACAACTGGTTTGATGTTCTTTTTCCTCATGGGACTGACTGATGTGGGCTGAGAAGACGCAGCTGATTGACGTGTTTAGTGGAGTGCAAATGAGAGGTGAAAAGGAAACCTGCCATGTTCTCTTTGGAACAATAGGCAGGAACTCAGTTCTCATTATTGCTTGTTGGCATTCTGAGTGTACACCCTGCAGTGACATACACGCTCTGCATAAAGAACTTGAAATGCTAAGACCAAAATCGAGTCTCATTTGCAGGTTTTCCATGACTTTGTTACAATGGCTTTTAGCAGATAGAGGTTGTGACCACAGCCCTGAAGGTCACTGCTAATGCAGTCCAGCCACAAAGCTTTAAACCAATTTAGAAGCTCCTGCCAGTATTTTAATTTGCTGCTTCTGATTTTCCAGTTATAATTCAGGCAGAAAATACTATACCTCTAAGTTGGAAAACGGGCTTCAAAGACCCCTGAAAAGTCTGAATTGGTTTTTGAGTACTTTGATTGGGATAGTGGGCAAGGCAAAACGGAATTCCATGGCCTATTGCTGATGTTTTAATTGGGAGATAGACCAATGTGCTTGTGATCTAAGAAAAACACATACCATGAGATTCCACATGAAAATCAAGAAAAAGGTGATCTGCTGTCCCTTAATTATGAAGTTAATTTGAAAAGAGATTTAATATTATAATAATGGCACTCTAAGCATTTTACATATATTATTTCATTTAACAGACCTGTGAGGTAGGTGCTATTATTTTACAGAAGAGAAAACTAAGTCTAAGAGAAGTTAAAAGGCTTGCACAGCTACTAAGTATCTCAGGCAGGAATCGAACTCAGACCTTCCAGATTTCAGGTCCAGTAATCCATCCTCTATACCACCTAGCTTCTTCTCATCAGCGACCACAGAAGCTTGATTTTCGAGTGAAGTTAGAAACCTGTGTTTCTGGTAAAAATGAAGCGTTTTTCATTGGTAATTAGTAGTTTCATGAGGGCCATTCGCATGAAATCAGTCCCACAGTCCATTCCTCAGCTGAATATGTGTTAAATGTTCTCATTCATTTTCACAGGTAAAAAATATTATTGGACCAACATAGAAACAATTTCAAGTTGAGCAATGTAACCCAACACTTTCCAAAGGGTTTCAAAGAAAAAAAAAAGCATCTAAAGCTCTGTTCCTTCCTCTGACAATGCACATAACCCCATTGATGATAATATTAAAGACTTCAGACTACCATTAGTTCCTTCCATGGTTCTTAAAACTCTTAATGTGAATGAAAATCATACCTGCGTATCTATAGGAAAGGAAACACACAATGGGAAAATAATCCACAGAATTGTGTTCGTCTTCCTTTCATTCCAAATGCAGGAAACTATGCTACCAATTTACATGGTATAGTCAATTGATCCCAATGTGAGAATTACAGCTTGGGTGGTCCTATTTGATGCTATTGGGTTTCCTTTGATCATGGTGATAGCAAATATTGTGTTGAAGGACACCAGCTTCCAGGTGGTGAGTTTCAAGTAACTCACATGAAACTCTTATCCAAAAGCAAGATTCTACACCTGGCCAATAGGTCAGTGTAGTGGTGTTAGAGCGTTTATTCTAGGGCAATACTCACATATGATTGATATGTTAGAGTGGCAGAAAACATAATCCTACTCCTTCTTAGAACTGTGTCTGTAGACAAACTAGCCCATTTCCTTGTTTTTTGTTTTTTCAATCAAAATCAGTTATAATCACTCACATTCTTAGGGTATTTAAAGAGTTGCACTTCCCTCAGAGCAGATGAGGAAACCGATGCTTAGTGAAAAATTGACTTGCCCATAGTCACACAGTTATTGTAATGAAATGAGGCCTAATCCATCCCCATTTCCTCTTTCTCTTTCTCCAGGCATTGGCATTCTCAATATCACAAACTGGAAGCTTAATTATTCTTAGAAAACCCAAGTAACTCCATTGCCTGTCACCTCATTTAGTATTTCCGCATGTGTAGTTGCCCTCACAGTACTCAACCCTGGATGAACTGCCATTACAGCAAGGTTATTCATTTTGAAAAGTACACAGATGAATAAAAATTAGCAAGTGAGACGTATTTTGACAAAATTTATTTTACTTTAGGGAACATGGATCCAAATTCTCTGATCCATACAGCAATGACTACATTAATGCCTAATTCAGAAGTCTCATCTTCCTTCCCTCCAGACTCAGTTCAAGTACCAGCTGTTGAATACAAATCCTTTCTTGATCACCAAACTTACTATGCTTTGGCTTTCATAGGCTATACCAATAGACCACAAATTTTAACAGGTTCTATCCATCTAGAAAAAGTCCACTGATAGACTCTTATGTCTGTTGTCCAAATATAAGTCTAGATGAATGCAATGAGGCTCATCACCCGAAGACTGTGTTATGAGGAGAGTGAGGACCTATTCTGGCCATAATAATTCATGATGACTACTACCAACATCTATAGGGGTTGTGATACACATCAGTGGAGGGAGTGGCGTACCCACATCAATGAAATCACAATAGGATCATAAGTCAGTCAATGAACAAGTATTTACTAGGTTCCTACTGTATGTCAAGAATTTTGCTAGGTGCCAGGAATACAAAGGTAAAAACAAAACAATCCCTTCACTCAAAGAGCTAATATTCTATTGAGGGAGACAACATAGACATATATAAGTATATACAAAATAAACACAAGCCAGTACTTTAGGGATGGTGAGCACTAGCTGTTACTGAGAATATGAAAGATTGTAGAGGTTTAGAGCTGGGTGGGAAATTAGAGGTCATCTGGTCCAATCCAGGCAACACATTTTGGAGATGAGGAAACTGAGATTCAGAGCTGAAGTTACTTGTCCAGGTTCACACAGATTTTAAGTGGAGGAGCTGGGATCTGAACCCAGGTACTCTACCACTCATTAAGCTCCTCTGGAGCAGCAATCTGGCTGCACATCAAAACATGAAGGGAGAGTCTCTGTGAATTTATATCAGGGAGTATGTCAGGGTGCAATATATGTATCCCCTCTTTCTTCTCATAGTGAAATGGACCTAGCCATGTCCTGCCCTTCATGTGCTTTGGAGAATACATAACTTTTCTTTGGGTAAAGAGTGGAAAAAGTATTTGTTTCAAACCCGGATTCAGATCCTGACTCTGTCACTTACTACTTGTGTGACCTCGGGCAAGGCATTTCTCTCTGGCCTCAGTTTCTTCATCTGTAAAATAAGGGGGTATGGCTAGATGGCCCTTGAAGCCCCTTCCAGCCCTAAATCTGTGCTTTTTTGATCTGTTCTTCTCAAGACAGAATGACAGCCTCTATCCAAGATGTATCACCTACTGCAGTATTTACATAAATCTAAGTGTGTCGTTTGCACTCTAGGGCAGCTAGGTTCCATTCAGGGAGTTTCAGCTCAGCATTTACAAGCAACAAGCAAAACTATACTGTCTTTCCTTCTACTTAAGGTACTTAAGTGGGCTGCTGCCATTGGAACAATGGCAGCACAAGGTCTGCAGAAGCTTGTATACAGACTGAGGGCCTGCTACATTCTTGGCTTTGCTGATTTTTTTTTGAGGTAATTAAACCAATGATCAAAAGAGCAGGTTTTTCTTTGAATCCCTTTCCAGTCTACGCAAAGTATGCAACGTTCCTCTTGCTGTGGGCCTGTTGTCACATCCCCCCATCTTTCATCATCTCTCTTTTAATATTTTCACTTTATTTTTAATTAACACATTTTC